TTGTGGAACCTGATCTAAACTACATTTTATGATTGGATAAATTAGATATTTTACCAATGTAAAGTATTTAATATTAACCAATCATGATCCATCTAACTAACAACCCACTTATTTGTAAGTGCTGAAGTTACTTGTAATTTCAGCACCAGAGAGATTTGAATTTAACTTAGAAATTAGTTGGACTCTCCCGAGCACTTCAGCAGCCGCAATAAACCAGTATACCCTAGATCTATTGAGCCTAGCAGAGACTAGTTAAACAACCTGAGACTAGATAGTATAAGAGTAAGATTAGGATCGGTATTAGACTAAGAAGTTGCACGAATCTATCCGGCCGAAAATAAGATAGCGTGACGAGCAGACGGTGTACCCTATCCGAAATTACTCTATGAGTTAACCAACTCGGTCCTAACTCATCTGGTGCGACCATAAGTCTCGAACAAGACCTTAATAGCTTAGCATTAACCAATAATAGATTAGAAATTAGACAAAACATTTACAAAATGTTATACGACAATAATTTAATCGAAATGTCTCTACGACTCAATAGATCAGAGCCAATATTCCGAACCATAACAGAACTACCCGGAATTGGAAGAAGACCTCGAACCAGAGACGACATACGACAAAGTAGAAACTTGCCATATAGCTATATGATAGTTAGGCAAAAACCAGAACAAACTTTTATATTTAGAATACTACTGGCAATGAATTTAGATTTTCATTTGCAAACATAAACCTTGAAGTTAATCTTCAAAATCATTTCAGGCGCTAAACAAAATTATTAATATACAATAACGATTGATAAAAAGATCTAAGATCGTTTTCCTAAAACTCTGCAGTAATATACAAAACATGTTTGAAAAATATTTATTGAAAAATAAAAAATAAAAATTAGTAGCATGACAATAAATGGTTAGTAATCATAAATCATCCTGTTGTTCCAGCTCCATCATCTAAAACATAACAGCAATCATAAACCCACTAACATCATCAAAACACTAAATCTTTCCTTTACACACATTTAAAATTTTATTAAAACTTAAATTCACTTAATTTTAAAACCAGATCATCAAGGCTTATCCTTGGATCTTAAATCATTTTCTACTTAATTAAATTTCAAATTTGATCATCAAGGCTTATCCTTGGATCAAACAGAACAACTTTGTTCTCCCCCACCCACTTAATTAGTGTCTAACGACCTCAAACGTCGATTCACTACCCAACCCTTTCTAAAGACCCAAGACTAATAGAAATTTTTAAAACAAAACTAATCATTCAAATTAGGATAAACAGTGAAGAACTTCGGTTATTCATCCTTCACTTGACCCCCCCTCTTACCAGACCCAGGATAAATCTTAGACTTAGTAAGTTTAAAATAGTATCTAACGAACTACTCGCGTTCTAATTATACCTGAACCTTGTGGATCGATTTACTATTCTCCAACCCTTGAACACAATCACTACCCCTAAGTAAGATTAAGTAAGTTAACACCTTAACTTATACTAGCCACGAGAAAGTAAAAAATCATTCTTCGGAATCGATATACTTTTCTCTCCAACCCTGAACAAATAGACCCAGGTTAAGCTAACCAAAAAATCGTAAGAACTAACAGTTTAGGAAAATAGAAATCATTTAACAACCTTTTGCATCCGTCATCCTAAACCTTATGTCATTTAAAAACCTAGGAAATAAACAAACAATCGTTTTACACAATTGTGAAATAGATAACAAAAAATACGACCTTGTAATCACACCTCATACACAAACAGTTGGATACATTCGAACAAAACGACAAACACTAAAAAGAAAAATAATAACGAAACAAAGACAAATAACACGAAAAAGATTTTCAAAAAACCGAAACGCATTTTCAGAATCAGAAACCAACAGTTTAGACGAACTTTACAAACTAAAAGAATCAATAGATAAAAATTACCCACTTCACGATCAATTATATTTTTCTGACTCAGAAACAACTTCAAATTCATCAAAAAGAGGAAAAAGAAGAATAAAAAAGCAGTATAAACACAAACCAGTACATTTATACAATTGGAATCAACCAATTCGACACATTAATAATTACATATTAACAGTCATCGAACGAAAAAATGAGCTCAACGCACACCCCAGGTGAAGAAAGTCCAGATGATGATGAAATCTTTCCTTTTATAGTAGATGCAACCACTGATAGAGGACAGCATATATTTTGCAAAAATTTACTATTAAATTTATTTGAACCCGGAATCAGTCCATGTAAAACAGAGTTCCCAGATGTAAAAATCAAAAGACAAATCATAGACCACTACTTAAAAGATATATGCAACATAACACAACAGTATGGAATCTACTCCATAGAATTCACCTCACCAAACCATAATAATAGAAAATATACAATTCAAACAGACGATCTTGATTTAGAATTTTCAAAAGTTTTTTCAGAATATATAAAAAGCATCCAATATCATAACTCACAAAGAGCAAACTCCATATTCACCAATGAAGTTTTCGCAATAATATATAGTTATATTTCGATATTAGAAAACGAAATCCCAATAACAAATGTCTCACCGACAGAAACATCTAAACATTTAAGAGTACGACATGAAATCACACTACTCTCTAGTTATTTAAACATCATTAAAGAAAATTTCACGAAAGACGACGTTTCACAACATACAAAACACGATCTACAAAAAATTTTGGCATGGTTCATAATAGATTATTTCACACACAATATTGATTTAATTGCACAAGCAAGAAAAAATTTTAGACCCCAAAACTCGAACGATGATACCGCTATCACAGAACAATCAGATTATGTTTGGGACCCCGAATGGTCTCATCCCGCATTTATAAGCTTCCCACAAACAATCTCAAGTCAAGCAATAAGTACGATATCTTACATAAGAGATTATGTAAAAGTAATACCATTAACCATTGATGCAACACCATTAAACTATAATACATTTTTACCCGATACACAAAATAATAGTTTAAACTCTACAGTTATACACAATGAAAACCTCAATGGAACTAGGAATCTTACTCAACAAGATATCCAGACACCATCACACTTCATAAATGAAGAAATTGTACACACAACAACTACACAACAAAGTATTTCACCAATACGCCCAAATTTAACAACACCAAGAAATACAAATCCTTCACAAACACAGGTAACCTTACAATCAACCGTTAAACCTTCGGTTGCCCCTAAATATTCACATATGGATTACCAAACATACAGACCCATGACAATACCATCAAAAACACGCAAAACATTCACTAGAAACAACTTTGCAGACCATAATTAT